ATGGTAGTGTCTCATCTGTGATTGTATTGGGAAAAAGTTGTTTTTTAATAAAGTGAAGTTACTATTTAAAATTCCTTCGCTTCTAGTAAAAATTTGTGAAAATTATTTCATTAGAGATGCCACAAGTAGAAACTATACATTTTTTTTAATCTCGCATATAATTACGAAGTTTATTTGAAAATTATTATGTAAACAATTTTTTTGTCAATTGAAAACATGATTTTACATATACAATCTACTTTAAAATTATATAGTCGCGCAACATAATTTCAAGATCGTCACAAAGTGATAAATGTGATAAATCGAACTTCTATCATGCTGAAAATTTACTGATTTTTTGTTTTTTAACAAAATAAAAATTCACAATGTCAAATTCTATTCCTTCTCAATTGTCATCACCACCACATAATGTTGACTTAAACTCAGATAATATATCTGAAAATTCATTCAACAATAACCAACATTTAGCAGGATGTCCTATATCTGATGTATGGTCACATTTGTTAAAGGAGAGGAAAAAACAAAAGGACATTACTCAGCATCTTGTAAATATTGTCCAAAAACTTGGAATTGTGGAACACCTTTTAAACTCAAAGCTCATTTAGCAAATGAATGCCCTAGTTGTCATTATTCTATTTCTCATTTTTATTTAGATGGAATTAATCAACAAAGCAGTAAAATAGTCAAAAAACAAAATGCTCAAACCCCTTTGTCAAAATTTTATGAAAGCGCTGTTCTAACTGATCAAAGAAAATATTCAATTAATAAATCATTATTATTGGCTTTCATCTGTTGTGGTATACCATGGAATGTAGTTGAAAATCCATTTTTTATAGAACTTTTAAAACAATTAAGACCTGCATATGAACCTTCTTCTCGTAAATACTTATCAGAAAAATTACTTATAGATGAAACTTCATTAATTAATTCACAATTAAACACAATCTTTGATTCAAATGATAATTTAACATTAGCATTGGATGGTTGGTCTGATCCTTATTTATATTTAATAGTGATATTATATAAAGGTAATAACTTCTCACAATTGTCATATCTTTGGAATTTTTATTATCTTGAAATTTGGATGTCAAATATGCACATTCAATAATTTTATTGTTGTATGGTTTTTAGATTTAAAATTCTGTTTATTTTATTTAAAGTAGTGATTTATTTATTTTTATGAGAAAAATATTTTATTTATATATTAATGTTAGATCCAAAATCTATATATACAAAGTTTCACATAATAGATATTTGGAAAATTTTACAATTCACCATACATTATTTGGGGCATACTGCAATAAAACCAGACAAAGTGGATATTTGTATTACCAAGGATAATCACCAATGTAACATGATTTAACATGCAAATTATGGAAGCTTACGGACATCATCATGATTGTAAACTAAAGCATGCTTTATGGATTTGATCATGTTAGCAAGATTGATCTATGAACATGTCAAACAGGAAAATTCTGCAATCTTGACTATGGGCATCTTTGTAAATTAATCTAGATGTCTGACTTTTTGTAAAAAATTAATATTTTCCTCTTACAATATATATATATCTTTTTAACAATGGGATTTTCTGATGTAGCTGAATCAACGAATTAGAAAAAAGGATTACCTGGACAAAACCTGACATTCTGTTTGCTAAACAGATTAATTTCGTAATTTAATCCAATTTAGTATATATAATCTTGAGACATTTAATTAAATTTAATATTGATCAAAATTAATTTATGAAGACATCCTATATAAAGCCAATGATGGATAACATTATCAATTAATTAATAAATTAATAATAGTAGTAATTAATAATCATAATGATTTTGTTAGACTATTTTAATTTTGAAGGTAAAAATACATTTCTGATTTTAATAGCACTGTTACATAAAATCATTGATACAACGTCTTTTGACTGTCATTAGCAATTATAAATAACCTATTCTAAAAATTTTATTTACGTGGAATCTCTGGTTTTGATTTTAATAATACAAAATAATGGTTTTTCCGATTCTTTCTAGCTGATTCTTTTTTATGTTCTCTACTAAAACGTGCTATCCAATTTTTATCTTTGGCAACTCATTTGCATCCAACTCATCTATTTCTATTCTTTGTTTTAGATCTCTAAGCATTTCTTATCTACTACAAGCATGTAATTCCTATGACCAGATCAAGGTTGGGTGACGAAATGTCCCTTTTCATCACATGATGAAAATAAATGTGACAAAATAGGATTTTTACACTTTAAAGAATTTGACGAAAATGACGCTATGATGAAAATGACGAAGATGACGAAAATGTGATGAAATTGTGACGAAATTGACAAAATTGACTAAGCAAATAATAAAATAAACCCAATTTTTTTTTTTTTACATGATTTTATTGTCATTATAAATAAAGAAAATTTACTGATTTTTTGTTTTTTAACAAAATAAAAATTCACAATGTCAAATTCTATTCCTTCTCAATTGTCATCACCACCACATAATGTTGACTTAAACTCAGATAATATATCTGAAAATTCATTCAACAATAACCAACATTTAGCAGGATGTCCTATATCTGATGTATGGTCACATTTGTTAAAGGAGAGGAAAAAACAAAAGGACATTACTCAGCATCTTGTAAATATTGTCCAAAAACTTGGAATTGTGGAACACCTTTTAAACTCAAAGCTCATTTAGCAAATGAATGCCCTAGTTGTCATTATTCTATTTCTCATTTTTATTTAGATGGAATTAATCAACAAAGCAGTAAAATAGTCAAAAAACAAAATGCTCAAACCCCTTTGTCAAAATTTTATGAAAGCGCTGTTCTAACTGATCAAAGAAAATATTCAATTAATAAATCATTATTATTGGCTTTCATCTGTTGTGGTATACCATGGAATGTAGTTGAAAATCCATTTTTTATAGAACTTTTAAAACAATTAAGACCTGCATATGAACCTTCTTCTCGTAAATACTTATCAGAAAAATTACTTATAGATGAAACTTCATTAATTAATTCACAATTAAACACAATCTTTGATTCAAATGATAATTTAACATTAGCATTGGATGGTTGGTCTGATCCTAGATGCAATTCAATTTGGAATTTTTTAATATATACATCAAACAGACAACAATATTTATTTTCTGTGGAAAATCTTTCTCATAGTAGCCACACAGGTCAGTTTCTTGCTGAAAAAATTAAAGAAATCTTGATAAAAATAGGTCCACAAAAATTTGGGGCAATAGTAACTGACAATGGATCTAATGTTAAATTAGCTAGAGAAATAATTTCCAAAGAATTTCCTCATATATTTAATCTTAGGTGTATTGCACACTGTGTGAATTTAATTTCTAAAGATTTCCTTCAACATTCTTTTGCAAAAAATCATCTTTCGTTATGTAATAGAGTAATTAAGTTTTTCAAAAAATCTCATCAAGCTAATAATATACTTAATCATTATATTAATAATAATAATATTGCTGGTGGGGGTTAAAAAAATATTGCAAGACTCGATGGACATCTGCCTATGATACTTTGTCATCATTTGCATGTTTAGAGTCATGTTTTATTTTAATTTTGACAGAAAATGGTGATCTAATTCCAAATCCAATTAAGAAAATTTTGAGGAGATTCAATTTTTTTAGTAATGTTCGAAATCTTTCTTACATTTTCAAACCAATGAAAGATTCTGTAACAGTTTTGCAATCAGAAAATACAAATCTTGCTGATTGTTATCTACATCTTGTTAAGTTAGCTGTTTCAATTAAAAGAAATTCAATCAATACAAATTCTAATTTTAAAAAATTTTGTACTAGTAAATTTAATTTACAATGGAAAGAATTCAATCACACAGGATATTTATTAGCATATTTTTTGCATCCAGGTTACAAAGGGATTGGAATTAAATATGGTCAATTTCAAAATGTTGCAGAAATTGCAGCAACTTATTGGAAATCTATGCAAAAATCAAAAAAATCTTGTACAGAATTGCTTTCTCAACTGCGGAAATATAGATTACAACAAAGACCTTATAACATAGCATATAATAACCAACATGATAATCCACTTTCATGGTGGTATACTTGTGAAGATAACTATGATCATCTGCAACAACTAGCAATTAAATTATTCTCAGTTGTTCCACATAGTGGTGGATGTGAATGTATTTTTTCATATTTAGGACGACTTTATGGAAAGAATCATCAAAATTTAAATATTAATTCCATAAACAATATTGCTAAGATTCATTCTTTTTACCTAAGCAATGTTAAAAAAGAACTAAAATATACTGGCCAGATTTTATCAGAAAAGGATTTAAAGAGTATGTTAATTGAAGCAGAGGTTAATTTGAATGATGATGAGAGTGATGATGATGAAAGTGATAATAATAATGATTATATTGATGATAATAACAATGATGAGGATGACAATTATGAGGAAGAAAATTTAGAAATTCATGATATTATGGATTTAGAAAATAATTGTTTTTTAGAAGATGATGGATTAAGTGAGAAGGATATGGAATTAGAAAACAGCAACAGTTACAATGATGATAATAATTCTGATTACGATCCATTAGAATTAGTTCAAGAATCAATGAATGAGGAATTATTGATGGAAATAATAAATGAAGAAGCATTTCAACCATCAGAAGAAACTCAACAGTTATTAAATGATTCTACAGTTTCTGATGAAGATTGTGAAATTGACAATGAATGTGAAGCAACAATTTCACATACATATCCAATTAAGCAACACAATTTACGATGTAAAAAAAAATGTTTAAAAGATATGTTTCATTTAAATATAAATAAATTCAAATTTTGTACTTTCGTCATTTTCGTCATTTTCGTCATACATTTTGACTTTCGTCACGCGTGACGAAATACCTCCCATTTGACGAAATATTTTTACACTCCAAAATATTTTCGTCACCCAACCTTGGACCAGACGTTCTGTCTCGGTACACTGCTTCCGTGAAACAAGGAAACGGACATTGAAAGTGACAAGAGGAGTGATAAAGGCGTGGACCATGGCGAATAAACTTCTTACCGGGACTATAAACAAATACTTTGACAGACCTCCTTCAAGAGGTGAGAATGGAGAACCTGTCACAAAAAAGCAAATCATCCAGTCAAAATATAAGTATGAGTCAAGAAGCTGAAAATCTTAACATGCTACTTTTTGACCACCTTCATTTCGATGAAACCTGCACCCAATAATCTCAAATAGTGTAGATGCGTTAGATTTGGGATCCTGACAAAAAAATCATTCATAGGCTCTCACGTGATGTTCTTGAACAACAAATTGTGTAACGAGAATACATGCAATGAAACCATTGGTGTTGTGACAAAGGTGATCGATGACTAAAATTTCAAAGTGACGTTTTCAACCCTGACAAGTATAAGCAAAATAATTGTGCAAAGGAAGCTTACCATTTTGAAATTGATTTGCTTTGACAGTTCACAAGACCCAAGGCTTTAATCTTACCGTACATGATGTTAAATGTTGATAAAAACATGTTTGTGTAAGGTCGGGTGTACATTGCGATGAGCCGAGCCGCTTCGCACATCCTGGGCTTTGATTATTCTCAGCTGAAGGTCCTAGAGCAGCTTTAGAGGAGTATAAAAGATTAGAGTTGTGAACAGCAATGGATTGCAATCGTCGCAATCGTTACAAATAATAATACTAATAACAATTAATAATAACCGCTTGTCCTCCCTCCTTGGTGATTGTCTTAAAAAAAAAGGAACATAAACAATCGTTATAAATGATAATACCAACAACGATAATAACAAAATTGCTTGTCCCCTCCTTGATGATCGATCATCTAAAAAAAGAACATGTATGTATATATTTCTGTTGAAATTTAAGTGAAATATGTATGATCGTAGTATATTAATCGCCGATTATCCAATCATTGAATATTTTCAACATTCGATTAATCGGTATCAAAATCACATGAAGTTTCGTGGAGCAGCAAGAAGAGTGCCAACCATAGGTAAGATATTCACGTTAATGAATGCCAGGGATACACCGACCATTTGGACACCATGCATTTGAACACAGAGAAGCTTTAATGGGATCTTCAAAAAATGAAGAAAGCCCGATGTAATCAATTCGCTCCATTGGGATTCAGCTTTTAATACCTAAGCAAAAGGAAGAGTTAGAATGGTTACAATACTTTAAAACAACTTTAATAATCAAGGCTAAATAAAAAAACTTCAAGAAAGAAGTATTATTTATTATCAATTCTTTCATAATAAATAGTGTGTGTACAACTTTCATTTGAAACATGTGTTTGATTATGAGGCACAGTGGTTATACAAGCCCAAAACATAAAAGCTAGATTGGCATCACCGACATATTTTTTAATAAACATAAAACTCTTGAAAAATCTTTTATTAAGAATAAGTATGTTTCAGCTCTTACTATGCTTTATGTGGCTACAGTGCTGTATTACAGCAAAAAAAACCGAATCTATTTATATCTATGAGAAGATGAATAACATAAGTTATTATTATTATTATTATTATTATTATTATTATTATTACTATTATTATTATTATTATTATTATTATTATTATTATTATTATTATTATTATTATTATTATTATTATTATTATTATTATATCTCAGTTTAGTTAATTTTTCATCGGATTTACCAACATTAGAAGATAATTTTTGCACAAGATATTGCGATAAATTAATATTTTTAGCAAGCAAACATTCCACCAATTTAACGCTAATAAAGTCAGGACCAAATTTAATAGCATAAACTAAAGCATGTGAACCATAATGCTCTATCAACCATTCGGCTCTCGAGTGTGGATCCTTTGAGATTTTGTGCCAAAACTTGCACGTCAAGGTTAATGAGATTGGAAATTTTACATTTTTGAAGATCATTGTTAACATTTCAACTGGCAATAGTAATAAATTATTAAAATTATTCATTTTTTAAATAAAATATTGTTTTTTGTTATGTTAAAGTTTTTTTTCTGAAAGTTATGGATGGTTTTTGCCAATTTATATTTTTTTTTTCGTTGGTTTCTTGGAAACTTTGTAACGTCTCACAATTAGGGAACATCATCTATGATGGAATTCTAATCAATTATTCCTACTAAATATTAATTATAATTACCGAATTTGACGAAATGAATATTCATATCATAACTACTGCATTTGTTAATCATTGTTGAAGGAATACGAATTCCTTTTCAATTTTACGTCAAGTTTCATTTAGTTTACTCATAATAATAAATGCATGCACAATATAATAATAATGAATAAACTTTTACATGATCATTCCAAATGGTTTTTACATTGTCTAAAAAATAAATTTTCCTTCAATTATTTGTATCTTTAGCTCTGGAATCTATGGTTTTGTCTCTTTAAGGAACATCCTTCGATTAGTTCTTTCTAATTCATTTAAATAAACTATTAAATCAAAAAAATATTCCGTAGTTTTAAAATAAAAAAAACCATATTAATCTTCTATTCTTAAATATTATTATTATTAGAATTTTCACGGTGTCGTTAATTATTTTTTTGTAAAATTTACATTATAAATCATACAAATAGAAATTTTTTCTCAAAATAAATAAAAATAGTAAATAAAAATAAAAATAGTAATGGTAATAGTAATAATAATAATAAAATGGGCCGGACAACTACTCCTAAAATAAAATATAGGACAAAAAAAGGTGACTACACTAGAAAAAAACAGGAAAAAAATATCGAAAAAATGGAAAAGGAGGTTAAAATTACGAGAGGAAGAGGAAAAAGATCCCGAGAAAAAAAATATTATTATTTATTCCACCATATATTCATAAGTATATTCATGATCATCATTACTATTATAAGGCAAGATTGAAGAAAAATGTACCAAAAACTCTTGATAATACTCGAGAAGTAGATGAAACAATTATTGGAGTGGACGATGATGAGGTTTTTGAGGAGGAAGTGTCTGATGAATTTTCGAAATATTTTCAAGATGGATTATCACAAAGATGTTGATAACTACTATCAAAGTCTAGTTATTTATTGGTTTGCATCTGAACTAGTTGACGTATTTCCGAACAGTCAATACGTCAAAGGAATAAAAAATTCACAGTTGGGCAAATTATAGAATTTTGTAAAAAATAGAGAACTCACTGATTTGTTATTTATCAATGAAAATAAGAAATCATCATGTAATTGGTCTATTTATTATTGTTGTTATTATTAATGTGTATTTAATATATTAATTATATTTAATTATTTTTTATTGGGTGAATTTATGAAATCAGATTCAATGGCTTTAATGCATTTACCAAATGGGCCAACTCCTTATTTCAGGCTAACAAATGTGAAATTAAGTCATGAAATTTATGTAAGATTTAGTTGTTATTTTTTTATAGTATGAAGATAAAAGAGCACTATCTCACCTGTATATATCTTCTTATAATAAAATGTGCTAATCAAGGGACATGGAAGATCTTCAAATCATAAACCAGAATTAATATTGAATAATTTTAATACAAGGCTTGTTCATACTATCAGTAGATGGTTTCAAGCTTATTTCCTCATGTGCCACAGTTTCAAGGAAGACAGGTTGCTACATTTCACAATCAAAGGGATTTTATATTTTTAGACATCACAGGTAGACAAAACTGAACAACCATAAAACAAAACAAAAAAAAAAAATAATAAAAAATAAATAGATATAATTTTCAAAGTAAAGATAAAGTAGAACTACAAGAAATTGGTACAAAATTTACTCTCAAGCTTAAATGGTTACAAAAAGGAACTTTTAATAAGAACAATGAATATGAATGGATGTTCAAGGTATATCATTATTATTGTTATTGTTATTGTTATTGTTATTGCTATTGTTATTATTATTATGTTTTTCTTTTGATTAATTAATTAATTGATATTTTAGCCTTTTAGCCTGAGCTGGAAACTAGTAGAAGAAAATTCTTTCTATAATATATATAATATAAATTTAATTGTTCAAACAATTTCCTTCTTTTTATTTCTCCTTCTTCTTTGTTGTCATCATTCTTCAATTGTCATCATCTCATCTAATGATTTTAGGCAAAAAATGAGAAAATGACATGTGAATTTTAAAATACAATTTTATTACTTTTACCATTACCATTATCATCATTATTGAATTTAGAATTCAAATTTGGTTTTTTTTCTTATTTAAAAATTCTGATTTCTTTTCTAAAGTATTGGTCATCTTTACCACTTTAAAAATATAATAACAATAATTTCAATAAAAATTTTTACAATAAAAAAAATAATAATAATTTTTTCACCTAAACTTTTCATTTTCTCAACTTCATTATAAACTGGTGAATTTTTGACAAGCATATTCTTTTGTATGTTGTTTGTATTCATTCTCAACAATAATTCATTTAAATGTTTGTAATATTCATATTTTTCTTTAACTTCCATAAATTCCTTTTGTGCTTGGTAAACTTTTTCTCGTATTTCTGCATATCTATCATATATGATATGATGTAAATGGATATATAAATATATTATATAATATCAAAAATTGAAGGATGACTATATAATAATTATATATATCTCACACTTTCAGCTCTTCTTTATATGGTTTACTACTTTCTAATGTTGACCATTCTTCTGGAAATGATTCAATCCATCTAAAAACAACAATATCTCAATCATTATTATGATTATTATCGACATTATGATTATTAATTATTAAATGAAATTTAATTACCTTGGATCTTGAAAATCACTCTCTTCCACTCTAATATATCCTTCTAATGCGTTTTTTTGCTTTTGGTAATATAAAAATTGAAGTTGATCAAGAACTTGTCGAATTGTTTGATTATTAAAAATTTGTTTTTGTTGACTTTTAATGCTTGTCATCACTAATAATAACATTTTCGAAGTATATAGTAATAAAAATTGTTTTTTTTTAATAAATCATTTTCTTTAAATTTGTTCATTTCAATCCATCCCATTTAATGTTACAAGTTATATTATATACATTTCCTTATAACTGGATCTACAACTTGTTTTGGAATTCGATTATCAGACTCTTCATTTTCTGTGGTCCATTCCTCTGAATAACTAAATAAATTCTGTTGAAGTATCTCAATCTGTGATTCTATGAATTCTTGTTTCTTATGATAGTAATTACTTTTTTCCATGTTAAATTTTAAAAGGAAAAGTTTGTTTTTACGTAGAAATATACAACTGCCAACCCGCGTTTTAACAATCGAAAGTTTGTGTAACATATTGTGATCTCCAAATTTTTATCATCAAATGGGAAACGTCCATCCATGGCGAGCGAAGATTTTATCATGCAATAAAATTTTTACATGACGTTATTCATTGAGCTTTCACTATCTATACCAGTGATATTTTTAAATCACTGAGAAACGACAGGAGCAATTATACTCAATTGAAAAATATTGTAAGCGAGGTAAATGACAAATTAACGTTTGCTTTTATCCAAACGATATGACCTTTTGGCTTTCATCTAATTGGTTACAAACGAATTCATCCATGAGCAAAGAAAGTGAATAGATAAATGTTTAACAAAAAATTGCATTTTATTGTTTTCGCCTATTGGCATAATATTTAAGATCATTCTATAAAGTTATATTATTTCCTATACCAAAGTCCTAGAGTAGGTTATGGACCTAAAACCATTCTCTGAGATTTGATTGTACACTATTCAAAGAATTTCAGTGTCCATAACTTTAGTAATAAAATTTTTGGTTTAAACATTCATCTTCCTTTCACTGTCTGTAAAATAAAAATGAAATGATTCGACGGAAGTTGCTTGCTTGGGCTCTCTCCTTGAAGAGTGCAGTTCTAAATAGTTTGGTTCATTGATAACAGAAAATGACATGCAGGTGTAAGTACCATCATCTCAAGGTAAACATATTTACTCAACAACGCACTTTTTTTTTTGGGAGTGTCCTTGTTTGTTTGTGACATTTCATCTGCTTTATCCATCTTATTCTTTTATGCTGATTTAGCAACATGTATATATACTCACTTATAGTAATTTGCTTTTATATTTAATTTTGTATCATATGGTTTTTTTAAAAATGGGTGTGTTCAAAAACTATTTTTAATTTAAAAGTCGGATTATAACAGTATTGGATTAATATTATATATTCAAAAATAAAAAAAAGTGTGTTAAATTATTAATAATAGTAAATATTTACCTTGAATCTAGTTTTGGGAAAATTTAGTGTTTTCTATAACAATCGAGAAATTTCATGCTTTTCATATTCTATGCAATGTCAATATTATGAGATATTAATATTGCGTAAAATTTGAAACTAATTTCCGAATTGCCATAAATATTAATATTAATATTTATAATTGCTATTTCCAAATATAACAAATATAATAGTAAAAGAAACATGCTCATAGTAGCACCAGGAAATTTTTCCACTACAATATTACCCGAAATTATACTCAACTCTTATACACACACATATATATATATATATATTCCGAATAGATACACCAGCGAATATTCATTTAAGACAAGAAATTTTCCCAGCGCAATATTATGAGATTATTGCACCCCGTAAGTCACTTATACTTACAAGTGTAAGTTTGTAAAAAAGGCCCATCGTAATAATCGCATAATAATAATAATAATAATAATAATAATAATTGTGTCGGAAAAATTTCCTGGTGACTACTACTAAATCCAATCTTTTGGTGAGAGCATACATAAAGGGTTAGAGGAGTTAAATGATATTGTCGCAGAATTGTTCAAATGACGAACGAAACACTCTGAGTAGTAAAAGAGCCATGAGAGCCATACCACCTTTAAAAACCTCGAATCGTTTTCTTATATTCTCGAAACTGTAATACATTCGTGGGCTTTAAAAAGAATGCTGAGTGAACTTCGCCCAGTTATTAATAATTGTCCAAATCTTGTGGATCTTATGGCCAGTGATGTCAAATTACCCCATTTACCTCTTTCTGTCATTTAGAAATCAAATGCATTTGCCGACCAATCATATTAATTTATAAAATCAGGCGAATCATGGATCCCTGCCTAAAATCTAGTCTTACCAATTCCAGGTACACCACAACAAGGCCAATGGGTAACAATTGCGGTCGACTATTTTTTCTGGAGTTGATTCGATATTCACTTCAAAAAGTTCCTCTAGACTTTCTGTGGTTTTATGATTAAGATAATATTTAAGATTAGTCCATAGCTAGATATGAGATGATCAGTGAATTTGCTACCAATTTGGTTTAGGGGATCCTACTGAGTCCATAACCATGATCAGGAGACTGGGTATTTATATTTTCAGAAGCTGTTTTAGTATTGGAAGTTGAAACATTTTCTTTTTTATTATTCTCGTTATGATAGATTTTTGGTGATTAAATAAATTTTTTTTAATTAATAAAAAAATTACCATATGGTGCGCCGTATCTAAAGACATCAAAAAAATTGCAAATCTTTAAACCCTGATAGATTTGGAAATATTTGTCAGGCCACAAAAATCT